TTGGCGAGCATACGTAGCTTTCGATAAATTCTCATCGGGCCGTTACAATTAATAAAATAATAATAATAATAATAATAATATAAAATAATAAAAATAATATTCTGAAGGTTATCATATTAGAATTTATTAGGTGCAGGACATGGATTTGGGTGATCGGGACATAACTTTTTAAGGTCAGACCCGCAATGTCAATGAACTTTTGAGTCGAATTCAATCAACTGCTGTGGAATAAGCACGTAACATCCATTCTACAAAAAGGAGCATCAAAAGTAGTATGGATTTTTTATCTTTGTCAAATAATACTCTGTTTAGACTGTTCCATCAAATTTACTCTGATGAAAAATTTCCGCAGTCAACTCAGGGGAAATCAGTTATGAAATGCCTTAAGTAAGAGGTATATACTTTACACGTATTTCCGATGCTTGAAGAAGTTGACTTTTATTCAAAGAAATGTAATTGTTGGCTTACAGTTTATTGTTTGATGGCCACTTTACATGAAATTTCTCCGGTGTAAAGATGAATATTTAAGATATTTGACATGTCTACGCGCAAAACTGTTTGTGTATTTTTTGATATTAACTCATTTATAAGTTTCTAAAGTACCTTCTTTCGCGTGGCACGGTTGTGCTCGTGTCTGATTCAGGCGACCCTGATGATGTCTCGTATTGTATGTCGCCACGCATGTCGATCTACAGCACCGGTCATGGAAAGCTTGACCCATTCACTTTGCCAGTAGCGGAGACCGAAGATCAAAGAACCACTTTCATAACTTGCTGAATTTTTTCGGGCCGGGTTTTAGGTTGAACCAATCTCTGGTACCCCCAAGTGGGTCACGGGGCCAGATCGCGCGTGGCAACACTGAGTTCTAGAGGTGGCAGACGAAGAATGTGCCCAAACCACTTCGGTTGTTTTTCTTGAATGACGTGGGGGAATCTTTGCGATGTTAACCCAGTGGGTATTCACAGACTCCTCTGAGTCGAACCTGATTTACTTTACTCCAAGGCTGGTCATGGAGCAGTGATAGTCAAATAACTTCAACTTTCGCTCATATTCTACGCGTACAGTCCAGCATTCACAACCGTAACGAAGGGCTGACTGGATGCATGCATGCATGCGAATCCTCGTGGAGATAGAAATGTCGCGTTGGAGCCATAGACACTTTCTAACGTTTGAGAAAACCCGGCGAGCAGCATCGAGTTGGAGAACACTGTCATCCTTGCGCTACTTATTCGGCGATAGCATCACCCTGGGGTATTTGAACTTGTCTACAGGTTCAAGTTGACAATCACTAATCGTAAGGGAGGCCTTCTCCTGATCGGGAGGCAGTCTTTAAACGCGTTGAGCTTCTCACCATTAATCAATTGACCGAACAATTTAGCGACCTCATTAGTCAATGGCATCATAGATTGTAGAGCGCCAAAGCTTGAAGCTAGCACGACAACATAAGTAGTGCTGTCCAGATCAGTCAGCCGGTGTCCGCGTGCAACCCGAACCCCTTTCCGCGAACCCATTCTACAGCGTAGGTTAGGGAAAGCGCCCATAGAATACGGCAATTTCGAACTCCAGTCTGGATATCGAAAGGATGGAAGGATTATCCTGGGCCAGAACTCACGCAGTAGTGAGGTCATAGTAGACCTTGAACAGGGCAACGATTCTGGCAGACACGCTATCCAGTGCCATTTTTCGCCACAGGAACTCATTATAAGAGGAATCGAACGCAGCGGAGAAGGAAACAAAGAAGGAGGCCGTTGGCTGAAAGCAGAAATGGTGGAATTCAAGAATATGTCTCAGTGTGGATATCTGGTTCACACATCCACGCCCTGCACGGAGTCCTGCTTGGTTTGGTCTTGCCCTAGAGCCGTACACAGCCTGGACTCGCCTAAGGGCATCAGGGAAGACTTTCACTGCAATGTCAATGAAACTTATACTGCAGTACATCCCGCACCTTGTCTTATGTCCCTTCTTGAATACAGGCACAAGGATGCCTGAACCCCAGTCATTAGGAACGACCTCATTGCTTCAATTTTATTCGGGCACCTCGTGAAGCTAGGACTCCGGAATGCCAGTAGCGGTACTACCGTCGTCTTTGGACACAATTTTTGGTTAGCCTCAATGGTTTCTCCCTCAGAGGAGGGGTCACCTGCAAACTTTGCGGATAATTTGATTAAGTTTTCGAGTGTCACCAATGTTGATAGCCTGGCCCATGGAGGTCCCTATTTCAACCCATTACTTCTTCCAGTTATTCTTAAACGAAATTTCCAAATTCGCATAACCCTTAAGGCGTGTATAATTCTCTCAACTCTTTTCAATTCGGGTCTACGGGTTCCACGCAGCAGGTTCCTCCCAGTTAAGGTAACGTCTGACTTAATGCTCTTGATGTCTGACCTGTACATCTGGTGTGCCGGTCAGCTGCTGCCCTCACCACTCCGAAACTTCCCAACGCTCCCAATTGTCAAGTTGGGAAAGCACTTTGAAAAAATGAGGGATTTTGAAAAGCACATGTCAAAGGTTCCTAGTATGATTGAGCTCTATCATCTTACTGTCTCCGGAAACGTCACATTTGGGAAGGACGTGGTGTTGAAGGTAATTTGCCCGATGCTCTTGTTTATATGTTATAAGAATTACTTTGTATATTGATTCTTTGAACAAACCCAAGCTTTTAAGAACGCGCTTAATTTCAGTCTGTGGATTGTGGAGTCATTTTTGCCACCAATCTGTTGTTGGCATTTACATTAACGTTTTAATTTCTACTTAATAACAATCAGTAGACATTTACGGCTGTTCAAATTATTTTCGGATGGTCGGAAATAGGCAAAATAGACACAAACTTTTGTTCGTCCCTTCTAAAACTCATACTCATAGGCAGCTACGAAGAAGATGTGATCGCTGTGACAAGACTTTTCTTTGCCTGATGTTTCGACATCCCCCGCGGATTCCTCATCAGAGACGGCTAACATGAATATGAAACGTCGGGCGAATATACTTATGGTTCTTGCAACCAAGTCCAGCATTAACAATCATAAGGAAGGACTGACTGGATGGATGCATGATGCATGCGAATCCTCGAGAATTGCTGCCACTTCGTAAGAAGAATGTTAAAATTCTCTTTAATGGGTGACTGTACAGACAAATTGATATAGTTGAAAGGGGGAGTCCACTCGGGTCTACCTTCGCCGATATTTTATGGGTTAATTAGAAGAAAAGTTGTCATCGAAACTTAATAGGACAAAAATATACAGACGATAGGTGGATGATATATTCACTATTGTTGATGCAAAAAAGCCGAAAATCTTTTTAATTTTATGAATAAATTGCATCCGAAGAGATGGAGCAGAACAACAAGTTGTCCCGCCTAGGCGTCCTCTTGTTCAGAGAGGATGATAGTTCATTCGGTAGCACTGTTTTCCGCGGGGTTATCTCCAAAGCCTACGTTTTACCAGCTTCGTGCCAACACAATGAAAACGAAATCTGGTACTTACACTTTTCCAGGGAGCTAAGAATATTTGTTCCCGCAAGATCCTACCTGCAGAAATTGCCCGCATGAAAGAGGTCCTACTTAAACGTGGCTAGCCTTCACGTTTCAATCCAAAATGCAGCGGCTCTTTATGGCCGAAATCTGCAGAACAGTCGGTTCCAAAAGAACCCGTTTTTATATTTTTACTTTTAAGGATGACAATATTTCAAATACAATTATGCGATGGCTCCGTTGCACCGTAGAGAGAACATAAAATGCAGCTGAACTAGTGTTCCTCACTACCACTAAAAGCCTTCTAAGTAACCGGACAAAGGATGCCTTGCCTTTGCACGCCACGCCCAACTGTGTCTATGGATTCACGTGCACTTGCGGATGCACGTATATTGGCCGTACGCAAAGGCGATTGGCGACTAGGGCCGCTTAAAATTTAGCTAGTTGGCTTTTTAAACAAGAAAATAAAGTGCCACGTTCCTCCATTACAGAACACCTGCTAGACAGTGGTCACTCTGATAACCTCAAAACACCTTTCCGAGTCCTTGTTCGAAAGCAAACAAATCGGACCTTGTGCTATAAGGAAGCAACCCATATACGGCATGAGAAATCCGACCTATATAAGCAGTTAGATCATGTGGCTAATCTCCAACTGCCCTGGAAATCGCAGGCATACATTTAATCAATGTTTGATTTTTGTTAATTCCCGTCCCTACTTTTCCTTCCTAAGTTTAAAGGCGGCATTATTATTAACTAGTCGCCGCGTTGAAAACTGGCCTTGTTGTTATTGATTCTGTGAAAATTCAAACTGCTGTGTTCTTCATTTGTTATCTAATTCATGCAAAGACAGGAAGCGGTTAAAAAGCTGTCCCGAAATTTATTTGTACAAATAAATCCTGCTTTTATGCTTGCTTCAGAATAATATATTCTTTTTTCTTGATTTTAGGGCACGGTTATCATTATAGCCCAAGATAACGAGCAGATCGACATTCCGAATGGCTCTGTTCTAGAAAACAAGGTCGTCACAGGCAATCTTCGAATAGTCAATCACTAGATTCCAATTAAGGACCTCAGTTCGGTGCCACAAGCTGACCTATTTTGTGGTGAATTATAAAAAATGGCATCGTCGGTGCTTAGCCGTATGCCATGGCAAACACTTTTTAGTCCTTCTGCACGAGCTTTCATTATTTATCCCTTTTGCAAAGTACAAGGTTGAAAAACTATTATCCCCTTATTTATATGATCATATTTTTGTGAATCATCCGATCTTGTCCTCAATATTTGCACTCGGTCAAATGTATTTTGATGACATTGGCCACGGATGTGTACTTCCATCTGTCCCGGCGACAGAACGACAGTGAGGATGCCTCCGGGAGCGCTTCATAACACCGGCCAGCCACATGGCAGAGTTTCCTTTCCTTTGCCTATGTGATTATTCCTCCCTCCATTCTTTCTCCTTCGGTGTGTGTGCTCACCTTTTGTTTTCTGAATTACACTAGCCGAGCACATTTAGAATTGCGTTGTGCAGTGATCTGTCGGTCCGGTCCCCTGTTCAGAATGCACTCACAAAGTTGGTGCCTTGCCTTCATGTGTGTGCGTGCATATGGGTTTTCTGTCGGTGGCAGAAGCAGAAGCAGCAGCAAAACTCTACCTCCCCATCCTCATCTTTGTTGGAACCGAGGCAAGTGCGCATCCAACTACGCAGAAAGAGGGACGAGTCGTCACTGCTCCTTTCTAACTCTCCCTGAGCCGTCTCCGAGAGGAGGAGGCGGCGGCGACAGTGAGACCGTTCGCTACCGCCGGGTCTTCTAACACGACGCACGTGCTACCCCGCGTGCCAGTTTGCGGCGCCACCTCTCTCTCTCTCTCTCTCGAAGTCTGTGTGCGGGGACAGGAAGGTGTCGTTTGCCCCTCCTCACCTGATTGATGATACCGT